AACATTCCTCAAAATAGAGACTTAATTATACATTTTCTAATGTAATCTATATTCTCAGTCTGTACTTTCTGACCGTCTGTAAAGCATCAAAGAATAGCAGTGCCAGGCTCAAATCACTATCACTTAAATCCTTATTATCCTATAAATTAAATAAGTGTCTAGATCACAGAAATTATACCGCCGCAGCAGATGCGGGGTACTGCTTTCATTGTTATCGTATCGTTTGTGACATATGTAATGGTGTTAACATCAGTTCAAATGCCGTATTTTTTAGGTTTGCACCACGCAAATTTGCTTCCTGTAAGTCAGACCCTGATAAGTCGCAACACTAAAACAAAGATAAATATTTTTTATTACATAAAAGCAGAAGATATCTATAATTATATACATTTACACACATACTTCTAAGTCAGCACCAGCTAGTACAGCTGATCTAAGATCACAGTTTCTTAGGATAGCATTTTTTAGAGTTGCAACTCTAAGATTTACAGCAGCCATATTGCTACCCTCAAGATTGGCACCTTTCAAATTGGCACCTTCCATGTTGGCAGGTAAACCACCAGGATCTTCAAAGTTGCATGAATGAAGATTGGCTGCAAAAAGATTTGCACACAACATTTTTACACAAACAAGTTGAGCACCTTGAAGGTTTGCATAAGATAAATCTGCACGATCAAAACAACAGCCTGATAAATTTGCACCTGCCAGGCTGCAGCCACGCATAATTGCATACTGCAAAGAAATATATAAAATTTATATAAAATCATATTATTACAGACAATTAAAACACATTACTTTATATTATATAAATTTTAGTTACCTTAAAATTAATATTTCTAAGATCTAATTTTGATAAATCAGCACCAACAAAATCGACTCCTTGGAATCTAAGTTCAGAAGATATAGGTGTTGACATGATAGCTTTAAGTACATCCTTTCTTGTTAGCGATACTAACCCACTTTTCTGTAGTTCCTCTTCTTCAACCATTGCAGTTAATATTTCAATAGCACCTTCTACTCCATAAAAGCGTGCTTCTGCCAAAACACCTAAAGAAATATAAAATATTATATTCAAATCATTTTTAAATACAGAAATATTTCAATTAGAGATATGTCAATAGTAAAATATCAAGTATACCTGCTGCATTAACGTTAGCATCAAGTATGATCTGCCCAAGCCTCAAATAGTTTAATAATGGCTCAAAGTATGTTGGACTCCTATCAATCAAAAATGCACCACTATGATCTTGTCTACTTGGTAAAATCCTTTGTTCATTGTTTGTTGTTTCACTAAACATTCTGTAAATAAAATTATTGTAAAATATAATTATATATATATGCTTTAAATTTATAGTTCAATCAATCAAAATATCAATTTACCTGGCTAGCATACTTGTAGGTTCCTTCTTTGTTAAGGTATCCCTAGTTGTTGTAAAATACTTTCCACCAACATTTAATGTAATCCACTCTGAATTTCTATTTAATTGATTCTTTGTATTAATTTTATCCTTTGTAATAAAATCTTCTCCATTTGAAACATATAAGACATCATCATCCCTAAAGTAAAATGCTTATTATTAATTGAGAGAATATAGAATATAATTACAATAAAAATAACTATTTAAATCAATGATTATACCTTATTAATTTAATATCATCTATTTCTCCACCCTGAGGTGTAAATATTCTTTGAGCAGTCATTTTAAATTTTGTGCTAGCAGCAGTTAATAACTCGTCTAATGAATGAGTAACCATAAATACCTGATACAAAGAAATAATTACTCATATTAAATTTATTTTTGTTAAACTCAATCACATTAAGTACAAATATTTATGTAATAAAAATAAAGAAACATTTAAACAAACATTTACTTCAGAAATTCGTTTATTACAAGAAAAATTGAGAAAATGTAAACGTAAAAACATACATTGTTGTAATAACTATAATCTATTTTTTACAAACAAATTTTTATAATACATAAATTGTATACATAATACATAAATTGTTCATGATATAATAAAATTACATATATAAATACATGTACATAACTTACAATAATATACATAAAGTTTATGTAAAAATAAAAGTTAATAAATAGAACAAATCAAAGAAACTTATTGAAAGTGTTAACCACGTCACAGTTTACTACATATAAAATTACAGCCACCTTGCCATTTACATCGGTCCCATTCATAAATAGAATTACTCTCTTCATAACTAATTAAGAGACAAAAGTCAATGCGATACAAAAAATATTAGCAAAAGTGACAGAGCACTGAAGAAGTTCTATCACACTGAACAAGTTGCCATGTTAAAAATGCCTATAAATCTGAGATACAGATTTCACGAACATGTAGCCAACAACCATGAACCAATAGACACGCTAGCTATAAATTTCATTGTGAAACGCCTTAAGATTGAATTCACAATGTTTTGATTCAAATAAATTTAATAACAAAATAGCCTAGATAGAAAGAAAATTTATTATCCTTTTTTTAACTTCTTTCTTTTCTAAAAATAAAATCTTTCTACTTTTAATGAATTAAAAAGAAAATAAATATTGTCAATCAAAACAAATTGCATTTGTCAAAAACAAATGCACGTAATCTTTCTTAAATTGTGATATCCTATGGTCAGAAATTATATTTTTTAATATTGAACAAATTATATTTTTATTTATATTTCTTGTCTCATTCAAAATAATATTATTCTATAATTTATTAACTAAAGAAATTTTCGTTTATAACTTTTAATTTCTACTTCACTATATTGTTATTCTTAATTGTAAGTAAGTAAACAATGCATCAATGTTTAATCAGCTTTTATTTCCATAGAGGTCTCTTAAGAATTGATTGCGATGCAGATCCCTCTAGTGGTCACTGTTTAAGACATGACCACATAACCTTCCTTGTATATTTTGTATCAGTTATTTCGTGTTCGTGCGTGCTGTTGATCTAACCAAGCTCATTGCCAAATAATTTGTGCCTGACGAAATTGGTTTAATTTTTGGATAAAATGTCGGATTCAGAAGCGAGTAATCTTTCCGACAACGAAAGCGATCGCGGCGGCGGTGGCAGTGAAAGTGATCAAGAAGAAAATCGTTCAGTGAAGTCCGCAGCTGGCAGTGATGCTGGCAGCGTCGGAGAACGATCTCGTAGCGTTTCCCGCAGTAGAAGCCCGTCTAGATCGCGATCTAGAAGTCCATCTAGATCACGATCACGATCTCGATCGGCATCTGGGTGAGCATACTTTCTTATGTATTATATATATTAAAAAATTTTGTTTCGTAACAACTAACGTATGTTTATGAGAACTTATAAGAATAATCGATTTCATGCATAATGATTAATATTGTTCTGTTATTCATTTCTTCGAACATATTTCTATATAGTTTTTAAGAAAATAAAATTGTTGTAATGTAAGACTTGTTTATGTGAACGTTTGTTTTTTCTATTATAATCAGTTTACGTTTAGTAAAAAATGAAGAATGTTTACTCCTTTAGCTCAGACGATGGTAGAGGGGATGAAGCAGAAGAAGCGAGATCTGGGGATGAAGAACTCGTGGAACCCGAAGAAGAACCAGAAGGTACATTAGTAATGTTATTATTTAATATAGATGTTTATTTCATTTTTGAATTAACATTTATATAGGAGAAGATTTGGATGGAAGCAGCGAATATGATGAAGAAGAGGAAGAAGAAGATGATGATAGACCTAGAAAGAAGAAGAAGAAAGATAAATATGGTGGTTTTATCATAGATGAGGCTGAGGTAGATGATGAAGTAGAAGACGATGATGAATGGGAGGAGGGAGCTCAAGAAATTGGTATTGTGGGGAATGAAGTAGATGAATTGGGTCCTACTGCTAGGGAAATTGAAGGAAGACGAAGAGGTACCAGTCTATGGGAGTAAGTATTTACATCTACAGGTATTTTAATGATTGCTTTCTAAATTAATATATGTATAAATTTTATCAGTTCTCAGAAAGAAGATGAAATCGAAGAATATTTAAGAAAAAAATATGCAGATGAGTCTGTGGCAGCCCGTCATTTTGGAGATGGCGGTGAAGAGATGAGTGATGAAATTACTCAACAAACTTTATTGCCAGGTGTGAAGGATCCAAATTTGTGGATGGTAAAATGCCGTATTGGAGAAGAGAAGGCAACTGTCCTTCTACTAATGCGGAAGTTCATAACATATCAGTTATCAAGTATGCAGTATTATTATTATTACATCTTTTATTCAAATGTGTAGATACTTCTATGTATGTTATTTTTTTTTCTAGATGAACCTCTTCAGATAAAGTCAGTTGTTGCACCTGAAGGTGTAAAGGGTTATATTTATATTGAGGCATACAAACAACCACATGTAAAAGCTGCAATTGAGAATGTAGGAAATTTAAGAATGGGTATTTGGAAACAACAAATGGTTCCCATTAAAGAAATGACTGATGTATTACGTGTAGTTAAAGAACAGACAGGTTTAAAAGCAAAGCAATGGGTTAGGCTAAAAAGGGGCATTTATAAAGATGACATAGCTCAGGTTGATTATGTTGATTTGGCGCAGAATCAAGTTCATTTGAAACTGTTACCTAGAATTGACTACACTAGACCACGTGGAGCTTTGAGAACAGCGCAAAGTGAATCTGAAGCTCTTAAACGGAAAAAGAAAAGAAGACCACCAGCTAAACCATTTGATCCAGAAGCTATTCGAGCTATTGGTGGTGAAGTTACCAGCGATGGTGATTATTTGATATTCGAGGGCAATAGATACAGTAGAAAAGGATTTTTGTACAAAAACTTCACAACAAGTGCTATTATCTCGGAAGGTGTGAAACCAACTCTTTCAGAATTAGAAAGATTTGAAGAAGCTCCTGAAGGTGTCGAAATCGATTTAAGTGGAGGTCCAGTGTCCGGGAACAAAGAGGATACTGCTGTGACTCATTCCTTCAGCACTGGCGACAATGTCGAAGTGTGCGAGGGTGAATTGATAAACTTGCAAGGAAAAATTGTTTCAATAGATGGAAACATGATAATGGTTATGCCAAAGCACGAAGAATTAAAGGAAGCACTAGAATTTCAAGCATCGGAGTTACGAAAATACTTTACTATGGGAGATCACGTTAAAGTTGTTGCAGGAAGATACGAAGGAGACACTGGCCTGATCGTTCGAGTAGAACAAAATAGAGTAGTTTTATTTTCTGATCTTTCAATGCACGAACTTGAAGTCCTTCCCAGGGATTTACAACTCTGTTCTGACATGGCCACTGGTGTTGATAGCTTAGGTCAATTCCAGTGGGGCGATTTAGTTCAGTTAGACGCACAAACGGTAGGTGTGATAGTTCGTCTCGAGCGAGAAAACTTCCACGTCCTATCCATGCATGGAAAAGTAATAGAGGCTAGACCACAAGGTTTAACGAAACGACGGGAAAACAGAAACGCAGTAGCATTAGACTCTCAACAGAATACAATACAGAAGAAGGATATTGTTAAAGTGGTGGACGGCCCTCATGCTGGAAGGGGTGGCGAGATTAAACATTTATATAGAAGTTTCGCATTTCTACACTCGAGAATGTTCGTGGACAATGGTGGAATATTCGTTTGTAAAACGAGACACTTGCAACTTTCTGGGGGAAACAAATCGAGCATGAATTCTATGGCCCCAGTGACTGGATTTATGTCACCGAGAATTGCATCGCCAATGCATCCTAGCGGGTCAGTAGAGTTTTTTTTCTTCTTCTATACACATATGGAAGAAGAATCCAATTTTATTGTACTTTTACAGAGGCGGTTTTGGAAGAGGTGGTGGTGGTGGTGGTGGTAGAGGTAGAAGCCGCGGAGGAGCAGCTCGTCGAGATAGGGAACTGATAGGTACCACCATAAAAATTACCGGTGGACCATACAAAGGAAACGTTGGAATTGTGAAGGATGCCACGGAGACAACAGCACGTGTAGAATTGCATTCCACCTGTCAGACTATCTCTGTAGACAGGTCACATATTGCGAATGTCAGTGTGCCGACCAAAGATGGCGGTTTCAGCAGCTACAACAGAACACCGGCTTATGGTGCCGGCGGGCAGACTCCAATGTATGCCAGAGATGGATCGAAGACACCCATGCATGGTTCACAGACGCCTATGTATGAGAGTAAGTATCTTCGAAGTATAAAGCTTCTATTGTCCGTAGTTTTACCGAGTAAATGTATTAATATTTATAACTTTGAATACATAGATGGCTCTCGTACACCGCATTATGGCTCGATGACACCCTCCCACGATGGTTCACGCACACCAGGACAGTCAGGTGCCTGGGACCCGGCAGTTACTAACACGCCCGCAAGAACAAATGACTTTGATGGTTATAGCATGGAGGAGGGTGGATCTCCTGGTTATGCCCCAGGATATCCTCCCACTGGTGGCCCATTTACGCCACAGACACCTGGCACAATGTATGGTTCGGAACAAAGTTTCAGCTCGTATCAACCGAGTCCTAGTCCAGCTGGAAGTGCGACTGCTAGTCCCAGTCCTGCAGGCTATGTTGCTACTCCTTCACCTAGTGGTACTGGATATACCACCAGTCCACATGGAGCATTCGCCACTCCTTCCCCAATGGGCTATAGTCCAATGACACCTGGTATGTATTGTTCTTCATGTTTGATTGTTTCTCCTTTTGAGAATATTTCTGATATCACTTCCGCGTAGGAGTCGCTGGTAGTCCATATAATCCACAAACACCAGGTGCAGGTTTAGACACCAGTGTCGGGTCCGGCATCATAGGAGGGACTGAATGGCACACTACAGATATTGAGGTTAGGATTCGGGACACTCATCAGGATCCTGCACTTGCTGGCCAACAGGGCGTTATTCGAGGATTATCTGTGAGTATTTCATTAAATATATACTAGAGTGACTTTGAACGGTCATTTGAATATTCTGCCTGTAATTTGTTAATAGGGAGGTATGTGCGCCGTTTTCCTCCCGGTTGAAGACAGAGTTGTGAACCTGGTCTGCGAAGAATTAGAACCAGTGGTCCCTTCACGAGGCGACAGAGTCAAGGTCATCATCGGTGAGGACAGAGAAGCCGTTGGCACGCTACTCTCCATTGATAATCAAGAAGGTGTGGTGAAACTGAACAAGGATGAAGTAAAGATGTTACACCTGCGATTCTTATGTAAAATGAAACCATCAAATACGTAATTGTCCATTCCAAGATTAGAGACTTTGTTAACTATAATCTTTTCGCGGTTTACCGCTCCATTATGTTTACGTAGTATGCGAATTATGTAAAATAAATACATATTATAATTGTAAAAAATAGCAAACCTTTTTCTGCAGTAACTACAAGGACACAGATGTAATTTTAAGCGTTCTAAGAGAATAATAAAGCTTATGAACTGTTTTATATAAAATACAATGGTTATTTTGTGACGAAGTTGGGTGTAATGTCAAATGAAATTTAGTAGAATAAAAGATGAATCGGTATTAAAGGCTACATTACAACCTGAATTGCCACGTGTCAATAAATTATTTAACTGAAACCAGTCACATAACAAACGCGAGAGGGTCGCGACGAGATAATGATCAGGAAACGTTTAAAAGAATTGTGCAAATTTTCCGGAATTTCGCAAGGAAAAACCGCATTGCTCCGGATCTCATCGACTGGAGTATGAGATCATGCTTCCCGCGGTTGCTTCTGTTGTTTGCGGCAATTACTTCCTTTAAGACTGACAGGTGCTCCAGCAAAACCAAGATATACAGTTTTCTTGACTCATTTACCAATAATTAATTATATAACATTAAACTTGATTAAAAATCGATTTAGTTGCCTATGTAATTTAAAGAATACGATGTTACCAAAATATACGTTACATTGTAATAGGATAATGGGTGATAACAATGCAAAGCATGAACAAAATGTCGGCACGGTGTTGTTCGAGAAAACCGACGCCGGCAAGCAGTGTTGGACCACAGAAGAATTTATAACGTTAAATAGTAGACGGTTATTTCAAGATTTATTGCCAAAAGTAATTTCAAAGATTAATAATTCAGATACAATAATGGTATTGTAACAGTTATCTCAAAATGTCTACACTTCGTTAGAAGTGAGTTTGCGTTAGTGACTGAACTTAAAAGAAGATAAATTGATTTTATCCTCTTTTCTCATTTTACGTTTTTTAAATGACATAGTGGTTGTTCTCCCTTTCCTTGCAATCTATATTTCCAAAATCTATGCAATCCGTTCAGGTGAAAGTTCTGAATTACGAGGACGATCGGTACATCGCTCTGTTGATGGATTACTTTCACATTTGTTTGGAGAACGTGCGCAAGCTGTCGATCGGAAAAACGAAGCACCTGATGCTGAAAGCCCTGGCAGATACTATGGGAGGCTACTTGCAAGTTTATATCCTGCCCCTTACCAAACACTCCTATTACGCAGGGAACATAAAATATCGGAATGCGAGGAAGCTCTTCGAGCTGTACGACGAGTTGAAGCTCTTCTTGAGGAGCAACGGTGCTGGCTGGCTGAAGCCATCCAACGAAAAGGTGCAGATGAAAATCATGCCGATCGTTGTTACGCCACCAAAAACGCCTGCTGCGTGCGAGGGCATCGTTACCTCGCACTCCTGTAAGATCATTTCTATCTTTGATCAAGAAATATCCATTAACCCTTTACCGTATAATATCGTATCTGGCTTGCAAAGGAAATTTTAAACTGAACCTGACTAATCTAAATGTTATTTACTCCTTTTGAATATAAATTAAATATTGCTTTTCTATTATCAGCAGTAAACGTATACACAGAATAAATATCAAATTCTTTGCTAGTCCAAAGGATTAAAACGATCCTCAGTTCATACACGCGTTAGAAATCACTTTGAGAAAGAATAAACACATATATGTTTTGTTTCGCAATATCCATTAAAATAATAATTGTTGTTTATTGTTAGTAATAGCAAGAAATAAACTGTCTTTTATAAATTCCTTTAGCTTCAGTTAATAACAACAATCGGGAGATTCACCACTTTGCGTTCAAGAAAGCAAAGAGACACATGTCGAAGCATAAATCAATCAAAAATGTTAAACGTGGTAAGTTTATTTGAATTGCATTAACAAAATCATTCGGAAGACAATAAAACTTTAATTTTTTCATTGAAGAAATACAAATTATTTGGCATTTCTTTGATTTGATTTTAAGATAAATCTATAAAGAAAAATGAATCGGTTGCTGTTCCTCTTCCCTTTTTGGACGATGATGCGGAACCAAACAGGTATCGAATGTTCGAATAATTTCTCAAAGAAATTCCGATTAACATCGAACTTTCTTTTAGTATCGCGTTACCGTTCAAGAAGAACAGTCTGCAGTCCTTATACACCGAACAGTCGGCATTCGTGTTAGTGAAATATTACGTAGCGAGCGTGAAGTGCATCGAGTCGAGATCGTCCACGAAATCAGAGCTGAAAACTTTCAACCAGGAGTTTTACAACTGGCTGCAGCAATCCGTACGTTGTGAGTCGCTGTGATCGAAAGTGGCAAATTTCATTACGTATCTAATAATTCAGTCAACGTATCAAGCGGCAGTGAAATTATTAAAGAGTACTTTATTCCTTATTTTCCTTAATAATTTTTATTTATCCAAAGAGAAAATACAAATGGTGTCATCAGAGTAAAACACAGAACAACTGCTGTCCTTTACAATTTAAGGATAGTAGTCACGTTCCACACAGAATTGTCTCATTTTATTAGAGATATCGATACTTTTAATACTTTTAACCAGAACGATACAGTTTCCCTAAAACAGTAGAAGTCGAATCATTAACTTGTCTTTGCTTCCGCTCGCGCAAGTGCATTGGGGATTTGAAGTACACTTGGTTCACTTCATACTAAGAAGTTTCTTTGCATCGATGCAGGTGGAACCGCACCTGGATGACGATAAATGGTACCCGGGCTTCGGCGGCGTTCTGAGGGTGATCTCGACGCTGAAGGAGTCAGGTACCATATTCTTTCTCTAATTGACAATTTTCCGATCGTTCGTCGACGTCGCTTTCCCGTCTCAGGAGTGGGAACCGGTCTTGCGGCAGTGAGAAAAAGCGGCAGCTATCAGATGATGTCCAAAATAGGCGGGCAACCGACCGCCGAGTCGGAGGAAGCGGTGCCATCGCTTTACAAAGGTGATGGGAGAAAGCGGCAATCTTCTTTTCGAATTTTCTATCAGTCCGCTTTCTAACCTTCCCGTGATTTCTTTTCGCGGATGCAGTCGGGGACACCGGGATCACGTTGGGGACAACGGAATTAATATCGATTGCTGTAGTGAGCGCGTTGCTGGTGTGGTTGCTGGTCGGGCTGAGCCTGGTTTGCTACAGATACCTCGCGAAATACTCGGACGAGTGCGGCCCCTGTCAGCAACAGCAGCCACCGTACGTTTTATTTAATTATCCCCTTGCTTTACACACATCGTTAAGATTTAATTGAGAGAGTCGATCCTTTGGTGATCGTACACGCGTTGGTAATTAAGCGGTTGTTGGTAGAGGGACAAGTACAAGCAATCCTTAATGAAATTGTAATCGCATTATGTGTTTCGTTGCATGTCATTGAAGTTTAATTGAATGTTTGCTAATTCATATCTGAAATGATTTGTCGGGACTTGCGATTATCATGTAACATTAAAAATACAATTTTTTAGTACGTTTTAGAATGATATTCAAGTCGTAACCCCTGTTCGGTAAAAGTTAAGGGCAAGCCATAATAGGTACACGGTAAAGGAATGCAATGAAAGCGACGATTAAGGTGTGCCTTCTCGCTTCGAAGCGTTCGCGGCATTAGGCAAAAGATTGAGATTGTAGAACAATAAGACTTCGATTCAACATGAAAGTTTGAGAAAACAATTGTTCAAATAATAATGCACTGTATTGTATTCTAGAGTTGCTGTGTTGTATGAAAATAAAGAGTATTGTCAGAATGACACCTGTGCGCCGCAGGCACCCCGTAAATGCATGATCAACAAATTCAGAGAATATTGCAAAAAAAAATTAGGCAAATGTCGCGGATCCTCTAATGATGGTTGTACTGACGAGGAACGATGTTTAGCAGCTATAAGTTATACTAGTAAGGACACGGTCGACGTTAGCAATAGTAGCAGAAGTTATCAGTGAGTATTACCGCCATGTTTCAAAAAATATTAATTTATCGAACATCAACAGTTTCTTTGAATACCTTTTCTGTCCCATAGGAAAAGAAAATTCTCCAAATCAGTTTCAGCAAACTTTTCTACATTCCGGAAAGAGCGTATGACCATCAGAGTATGTGTTGATATTTATACATATCGTTGTGTTCCGTCGTGGAACAAGGGGCCCTTCGGGATACCGAGGACCGCGGCACGTCGATACACGGTTCTGGTTTATGACACGGGCGCAAACACGATCGAGCGTTCGGGACAGTTGATCCGGGGCCCGGCTTCGGCCATTGTGCAA